TGTCCCCACTATCCCCAGGCTGTCCCACCACCCCCTGGTGTCACTGTCCCCGTGTCCCCACTATCCCCAGGCTGTCCCACCATCCCCTGGTGTCACTGTCCCCGTGTCCCCACTATCCCCAGGCTGTCCCACCATCCCCTGGTGTCACTGTCCCCGTGTCCCCGCTGTCCCCCGGTGTCACACCATCCATCCCCTGGTGTCACTGTCCCCGTGTCCCCGCACACCTGCCAGCACCATGGCCATGACGAGGTCGGCGCGGGCGGAGCGGGCGCTGATCAGGTGCTGCTGGATCAGGAACTGCGCCACCTCCACGATGTTGTTGAAGGAGCGCTTGAGGATCTTCTCGGCCCAATCGCACGTCAGGGCACACGCGGCCTCCGTCACCTCGCTGGGGTACGAGGGCAGCAGCTCGGCCAGCTCCGACTGCGGGGGACATTGGGGACATTGGGGACATGGGGACATTGGGGACAGCGGGGACATTGGGGACAGTGGGGACAGGACATGGATCCATCCATCCATCCATCCATCCATGGATCCCATCCCATCCCATCCCACCCCTCCGTCACCTCGCTGGGGTACGAGGGCAGCAGCTCGGCCAGCTCCGACTGKGGGGACAGCGGGGACATTGGGGACATGGGGACATTGGGGACATGGGGACATTGGGGACATGGGGACAGCGGGGACATTGGGGACAGGACATGGATCCATCCATCCATCATGGATCCCATCCCATCCCATCCCACCCCTCCGTCACCTCGCTGGGGTACGAGGGCAGCAGCTCGGCCAGCTCCGACTGGGGACAGTGGGGACAGTAGGGACAGGATGGGGACAGAATGGGGACACGGTGAGGACAGGGAAAGGGACAGGGTGGGGACAGCCATGGGACAGGGATGGGGACAGGAATGGGGACAGGATGGGGACAGGATGGGGACATGGAAAGGGACAGGATGGGGACAGGGACAGGGATAGGACAGGGATGGGAACACGATGGAGACAGGCATGGGGACAGGATGGGGACAGGGATCGGGACAGGATGGGGACAGAACCCAGATCCACCCATCCCATCCCATCCCATCCCATCCCATCCCATCCCATCCCATCCCATCCCATCCCATCCCATCCCATCCCATGGATCCCATCCCCTCCCAC